TTTCAAGCTTGTTGCAAGCTTGTTACAACCAGTTCACAACCTCACAAGGTTGTAGCAACCTAGTAACAACCTTGTATAAAAGTGATCAAGTTGTGAGCAACCTAGTGACAACCTTGTATAAAAGTCATAAAGTTGTGACTAACGTGTTACAAACATAACAACCTTGTGACAAGGTTGTCCAAAGGTTGACAGGAAACTGAGGTTTCATTAAGTGCGCCCCACGATGATATGAAGCTATTGCTACCATATATAAGGGGACCATTGACCAGCTCTTGTACAAGTCAGGAAAGATAACATTAATGCACATCCACATCTTTAAACATTAGCTGCATATAACATTATCATAATGTTAATTATTAGTTGATAGTCATTCAGATTATAGTAATTCTATTAAATTTATTGCATATTATGACCATGGTTGTCACAAGGTGGAAAACGTGTCAATCCTAGGGTTTTTACAAGGTGATGGGCCTTGTGGCCAGGTAGTCCACCTAGTAACAAGAGCCTTGTTACAAGGTTGCCACAACAATGCTGCAACCTTTTTTTAATATGGGAGACCTGATATTAGTGTGCATACCTGTTGTAGGATATCCCAATTGTCTACATACTACTTCAGCATTAGCATTAGTCCAGAGATCATCACAGACTGTCCCCCACATATAGTTAATGCATATTTCAACACGACCCTCAACAGGTGTCCTTCCATTTACTAGTCGCAGCTCACCATGAGTACAATCTGTGGGAAAATATAAAGTGTTATTTTTGTTTGTTTTTTTCTAATTCCTACAATTAAAAGCTTCTCTAAACTTTGTTTTTGCGTTACAATTACACCCAATATTAATTCCAAGTTATAGTAAACAAGGATGTAAGGGAACATTATATGAATGACTTCAATGCATGTACATCAATATAAGCAATTCTTTAGCATTTGACCAATTTTGATATGCATATACAATTTGATGAAATTTAAAATGATTTAATAATACTAGATATGTAAACATGCATCTACTTGCAATATAATTGAAACTGAAGCAACTATACAGGATGTCAGGATTATGATGTAAATCTCACTTATGCAAGATACTCCAACATCATCAGAGTGGTCACAGTTGTGGCTTCCAATCGGCCTATGCATGCATTCTAATAGGGAGCTCTCATTTCCAGCACAGTGAACATCATCTAGAAATATTTGACCTGTACCAGCTCCAAAATATGCGCTACTGTAAAATTCAGGTACTACATAGAGGTATGAAAATATAAATTACGTCACTCCAATTCAATCCACACACATATATGTGTATACGCACAATTTATGCAGGTGATATTAAATAAATCTAATGAAAATGAATAAATCTATTGGAGTTGGCTTAGTTTATCAAACCTACAATTGTTTATGTTGCTGTGTGAACTAGTTTAGTACCTGCATTGAGATATCCCAACTGTCTGCATACAACTTGAGCGTTAGAATGATTCCAATGATCATCACAGACAGTCCCCCATGTACCATTAATGCATATTTCAACACGACCTACCTCTGGGGTGTCTCCATTTACAAGCTGTAGCTCACCACTCGTGCAACCTATTAAGAAATAACATGAGGACTTCAGCTAGTCTATCTTACTTACAGTGGACTAAAGGAAGGCCAATTAAAACTGCTATTGCTAGTCCAGTCATACTCGTGAATTTTAATC